CTTCGATCTCCGTCGCGGCATGAAACAACGGTTGTTTGAAGGCAGATCTGCCTTCAAAAAACCGTTCTTACAGAGTAGACCAGTCTTTTTTGAAGGCAGATCTGCCTTCAAAAAACCGTTCTTACAGAGGAGATCCGTTGAGTTCATTATTTTTCAACGCGCTACTCCAGCACATCTTGGCGCTGCTGGTCCCAGACTGGCAGAGAAAACGCGGGGGCGTTCAACTGGGCCACGCCGACGAGACGACACTCACGAGCCTCCGGTTCGCAGACGACACCTTACCGATCAGCCAAACACTACGCAACTTGAAAACAATGCTTTCCGACTTGACCACCTCTGCCAAGCCACATAAACTGGAGCTACACCCGACCAAGACCAGAATCATGACCAATCAAACTCGGCACCGCGACTGGGCGACTACAGTAGCAGGGTTGGACATCGAAATCGTAACACGTACCAACACCATCAAGTACCTAGGCCAGACGATCATCTTCCAGGACGCCCCCGCGACCGAAGTGAAGCACCGGATTCAAGCTGCGTAGGCTCCTGTTTGTAGCCATAGATAAGGACTCACAAGCAAAAATTACCCATTGCGCCATCGACTACGATTATTCAAAGGCACAGTCATCCCTACAATGACGTACGGCGCGCAAACGTGGACCCTGACAGAACCTCTCAAGCAGCAGCTACGCCGAACGCAGCGACGCATGGCCAGAAGAATCATCGGAACGCCCAGGAGACGCACTGCAACCGCACCATCACCGCACCGCGACACAGCAGCAAACAAGAACAACGTCCACCACTACGACACGGGAGGTGCTGGTCCACGCGACTCAGACCGTTCCAACGTTTCCACCGACTCCGACGTACGCAGCGACCCACCCACCGACCAAACCAACTTGCAGGCCACTGGCAATGATGAGGAGGACACACGTCCTGACAGCACGCGGAGTGACGACCTGGAGTTGCGGCCTGACCTCATCCGCAGAAGCACGAGGAGGACGGACGCATGCTCGTGCACAACATACCAGACGCATTGCGCAGTCCTCGTAGTGGGCGGATGCCGTGGCCCACCACCCCACGACACGCGGGACCCAGAGAGCGCTGGAGTGGAACCCGCATCTTAGCGTACGTCAGCGTGGACGACGGCGACACGGGGGACAGCCAAGCGGTGGGACGACGATATCCGGAGCTTCCTGCACAGTTTGGACAGCGACGCAGGAGGGGAACAAATCAGGGCAGCCACCCGACCTAAACACTACGAGCACAACAGCACGAACGCCCTACGACGATGGATCCGGGCCGATGGGTGCACAGAGCGGTGATCCTCATATGAGCGGGCATACGTTTCAAAAGTTTGACTGGTAGATCTTCCTGTCGAGGCCACGGCCTCCACGCCATGCCTTAATGGGCACGGGCGAGCTCCCCAGAGGAGCATGCACGACTCTGCCGTTCGTTGGTTCGTTCGTTCGTTCGTTCGTTCGTTCGTTCGTTCGTTCCTCCTCCTCCTCCTCCTCCTCCTCTTCCTCCTCCTCCTCCTCCTCCTCCTCCTCCTCCTCCTCCTCCTCCTCCTCCTCCTCCCCTCCTCCTCCTCCTCCTCCTCCTCCTCTCCTCCTCCTCCTCCTCCTCCTCCTCCTCCTCCTCCTCCTCCTCCTCCCTCCTCCTCCTCCTCCTCCTCCTCCTCTCCTCCTCCTCCTCCTCCTCCTCCTCCTCCTCCTCCTCCTCCTCCTCCTCCTCCTCCTCCTCCTCCTCCTCCTCCTCCTCCTCCTCCTCCTCCTCCTCCTCCTCCTCCTCCTCCTCTCATGTCGGCGGCGAAAGAGAGGGGGAAGTGAGAAGGAGAAGGCCTTCTAAGAATGCTCGGAAGTCCCCGCGCCTTCTGAAAAGTTTGTTTTCTCAGCCTTCCCCAACGACAAAGAAAGCCTCTCAGAAGGCGCGAGGCCTTCTGAGGGGCCCCACCGCCTTCTGAGAAGGCCTTCTCCTTCTCAATTCCCCCCCTCGCTCGCCGCCGATATCCACATCCGCGCCCTCGCGGACTGGATCCCAGGGCGCGATCGCGATCCCGCAGATGCACAGTCCCAAGAAACCCCTAAGAGGCCCTCAGGAAGCCCCAAGAGCCCCAAGAGGCCCACAAGAGGCTCCCAAGAGGCCCCCAAGATGATCCCAAAAGGCCCCGAAACTGCCCCCCAGAGGCGTACGAGAGCGCTGCGAAGAGACCTCACCAAGCATCCTTGAGGACTCTGATCTGACCCACGTCAGCGTCGTCGTTGCCGCCGCCGCCGCCGCCGCCGTCATCATCGTCGTCGTCCCCCTTCAGAGTCGGCGGCACCGGCCTTAAGGCCTTCGCAATACACGGTCGCACGGATACGCTCCGCGCAGAGCATCCGCGAAAAAACGCCCCGCCTCCGCAGAGTCTCGGCCCAGCAGCCCGCGAGGCGGCGGATCTGGGTACGTTCTCCACCCACGGGAGAGGATCCACCCAGCAGGACTCGGCTGACATCGGGTAGCAAAAAAATATCGAAGTACACAGTATAAACTTTCGGAGGTCCGCGCGGATTTCTTGGATCGGCGCGGGAACCCCCCTGGCGGCGCCTCCAGCGCCGCCCCTGGCTCGCTGCGCGCGCTGGGGGAGGTCCAGCGCTGATCCAAGAAATCAGCGGGAACATAGAGCATGGTCATGCGATGTTTTACTCCTCGATGACAGCATATCGCTCCGCGGTGCTGCAGTCTCGTAGGAGGCAGATCCTGGGAAGTCTTCGCAAGAAAGAATAATTTTTATTAGGCCCGATGAAGGGCCAGTAATCTGGATGAGGCCAGCTTAAGCCTGGTTCTTGCCAGACTCCGCCAGATTCAGCCAGATTTAATGGGATTATGCCGGATTTAGCAGGTCTCGACCACCGATATATAAGCGCCGATGCTGAACCTCACCAGCCCGCTGGGCGCAGCTGGTCTAATGAGTTCTGTCTTCTCTCTGCCAATATCCCTCCTTCCACTGCTATGAGGAGGGGTTTATCACTGCTCCCTATGAATATACACCACTCCCCCAGACGACCAGCAGCCAACCAGGAACAGTGCCGACCCTATAATCACACACCCCAGCCATGCCTGTCAGAAAACAATACGAACGCATACTCTGCCTCCAAATTCGGAGCATGCGCAACCAACCCGATGCGGCCTCCCCCATCCACCATGCCTGTCAAAAAACCATACAAAGTGCGCTTTGGGGTAAAGTCTTGAGTCATGTTCGAGAGGCCCGCGAGCACTTTGTATCATTTTTGACAGGAAAGTGGGAGTGTCAGCATTTTGCCTTCTGCGCGCAGGGCCACCATCCTGTCAAAAACAACGAAAACTGCACACCGCGGCTAAATCTGGACCATGCGCGGCCACCCCGCGATCACTATCAAGTGGGTTTGACAAGGACGGCGGGGCTTGTGGCACATGGCCTGCTGTGCGCAGGCCCACCAAATACAATGATGCGGATTGGTTTTCGACATGGATGGCGGGGGCCGACATGTTTCCCGATGTGAGCTGTCACATGCGCAGGCGCACGTGACACACTTTGCACGTGCCCCGAACGTGGCGCTCCCGGCGCGGCTGGAGTATGAGGCACACCTGGCGAACGTGAAGCACGTAGCGCATCTGGCGCACCAGGCGTACCTGGCACGCTCGGGCCCCAGGGGTGCCGGGCGCGCGTGGCGCGCCTGGCACGCGTGGCACACCTCGCCCTAACGTCGCGCACATGGAACGGTGTTGGTTCCCAGTAGCTGTACATCCAAAGACGAGCGCTGAACATGCTGATGCTCGGGTGTAACTTATGTGTTGGGAGGGCGGGTGGGAGTGAGCTAAACGGCTTGCCGTCTAGGAGGGTGTCTTGACCCCTCGCCCTACCCGTCCCCTGGACCTGGGAGGAGGGGAGCGCGATCGGTCAGAGCGCCCAAGATCGCTCAAGATGGCTCCAGGAGGGCCTCAGAGACCCCAAGATGGCCTCATAGATGGCTCAAGATAAATCAAGGTGGCTCAAGATAGCCGCCGACGCACATTCAAGAGGCCTCAAGACGGCCCCGAGATGGTTTCAAGTGCCCCCCAAGCCCTCCAAGGACCCCCCAAGAGGCCACAATTGCTCGAAAACCTGAAGAATTCTTGACGATGTTTGCCTTCTCGCTTTATTGCTTCCGATGGGCCTCGGAGGCCCCAAAGTGGCCCCAAGATGGCCCAAGGGAGCCCCAAGAGGGACCCAAAAGAGCTCTAAGACGGCCACAAGAGCGCCCAAAAGCGCTCCAAAAACGGCTCCAGAGGGCCTCAGGACGACATGTGTGAGCCCCCCAGGGAGGGACCTGAATCCGTTACCCTTCTCTTTGTGAGCCTCGGGGGCCGAGATGGCCCCAAAAGGCCTCCCGGACCCCGCAAACGAGCCCCCAAAGGGCCCCAAGAGTGCCCCAAGTGGCTCCGCGAGGACCCCGAGAGAGACCCAAGCTGCCTCCAAGAGAGTTCCGAGACAACACTTCCAAGGCGGCTGTTGCACTGCATTCTTCCACACGTCCCTGATCAAGGCAACGCGCCTGCCGATCCTATTTTCTGGATGGGCTGGTGGGGATACTTTTTGGTCCGCGGACGCGCGAAACGGGTCGAACGCCGAGCCTGCTACGGAAGCGTGGGCTGGTGGTGATATACGCGGGGATACGCGTTGGATGGTTGGGCCGGTGGGGATACGCGAAGCGTCCAGAGTTCAACCATCCAGGAGTTGCACCCCAAAGTCTCCCCTGAGCACAGGGGCCCCCCGCCGTCGAGCAGCAGACAGGCAAGTCGGGCCTGCACCCGCATGCCTTGCCGAACTCCGGGCGCGCTTCGGCACTCGTCGGTGCCACCGACTCGGGTGACAAGCGGAGTGAGACGAGAGAAACGAGACAACGACGGCATGCGGACGAGATGGGTCCTCAAGACACCTTCACGCCTTGCCAGTAAGCTGAGCAGCCGGCTTCCGTTGGCCGCGGCTCGGGGAAAAACTAAGAACGCTGCCTGACCGTGAGTGCCCGTGCACCGACGTCGTGAAAAGAACGCGCCCGCAGCTCCCGGCCCAATCTTCCCACATCCCGAGCCAGCTCGATCTGGGAGGGCCCCTGGGCATAAAAACGGCACGAGGACGCCCGCCCCCTGCTTCCAAGCCCTCCTGTGGAGGTGGGCCCTCGATTCTCTCCGCCGCGCCGCGTCCCGCCCCCCGCCCACTCCTCCCCATTTGCTGCTCTTGGGCGAGGCTGCTGGGTGAAATGAAATGCCCAGCCACACGGTCCCACCCTCGGACGTGTCGCTGTTCCTTCCGCCGCCTTCCGCCGACCTCCCGCCGGCCTTCCGCCAGCAGAGCCGCCGCACCGCTGCACCTCCGCCAGCCCTGCGCGCCGAGGGCGAGCATAGCCGAAGGCGGGGCCCTTTTTGCGGGAGCGCGCCGCGCCGACGCACCCCTCGCAGGGGTCGTGCCATGGCCCCAGGTGGAGCCCTCCCGGAGACTGGTAGGAGGCAACTGCTGGGAGCACTTCGTCGGAGGGATGATAATGCGGGATGACGTTTATCAAATAAATGGGAGAGAACGATTAAAAAAAATAGTTGTCTGCTTTTTCTGCATAATTTTCCGACTGGAGGAGAACGATGTGTATATATATATATATATATATATAACAAAAAAAGTTCTCCAGCCCGCGGCCGGTTTTTTCTAATCGTCATCCCGGGCGCCGCCGCGGGAACACGACCCCCGGTCATTTATTAATCGTCACCCTCCGTTGCGGAGGATCAGGCCCCCTTGGGGAGCTGCTACGCAGGATCGGGCCTCGGATCAAGCGGGATCGAGCCGGATGAAGCGGGATCGAGCCGGATTGAGCGGAATCAGGCCGGATTGACACGGATGTCGGACCAGGGCAAAGAGGTCAGAACTCGACCTCCCAGAAGGTGAGCGTTTTCTTATTCGGCGTTTCGACGTTCGGCGGAAGAGGGTGGAGGGGGGGGTCTGGCTGTGGACCTCTGCTTCGTGCGACTGTTTGCAGCAGTGCGTCCCACGGGGGAGACCCCCCCCTGCCTGAAACAGGCGCCAAAAACCGCCAGGATCTACTCCGTGGGGGGGAGGGGAGGGGGAGTACGAGGGCCCGCCCCGATCGGTGAGTAAAGAAACGCTCACGAGCTGCATCCGAGCAGACTGCAGCGGAGCCCCCACCCACTTCAGCACGCACACACATCCGCATATATCGGGCCCCCTGGTGCGGGCGTCCCTGTGGCACCGCCGCGCCAATTTCGGGTTCCCCTCACACTGATTGTGCCTCGTTGGATGCTCCAACGGTGACCGCAGTCGGAGAGCTCGCGTGGCATCGCCGCGCCCATGTCGCTGCACGCCCAACGCTGATCATGCCTCACAGAATGCTCAGACTCCCTCCTGCGGGCGGGGCGCAGTATACGAGGGGGCAGGGCCACCCCTTTCGCTGCTCGCTGCTGAGTGGGGCTGGGCCATTCGCGGGGCGCGTTTTGCTCACGCCGCCCGGAAGCGCAGCAGCAGCAGCAGCAGCAGCAGAGGGCACGGAGCAGCAGAAGCAGCATCTGGCGCTCCACGCTGGGCAAGCAGAAGGCGGGTGGCGCCGTGGCGCGATCCCGTGATCATTCGCCTGCTATTGGGGGTCGGACTTCTGGGGGTCCGAGTCAGCGAAGGGCAAGCTGAAGAACATAGATGGTCTGAGATAGAAAGGTGCCCAGGCGAAGAATCTCCTAAGGAAAAGCGAAGGTATCCTGACTTGTTCATACAAGCACGGTCCCGAAGAAGGAAAATCCAAGGAATTAAGCCTGCCTTGTCCGACCTTGTCCTGACCCCCAAGAAGCTGAGCCTCCTCAGCCAGCGAAGGACGAAAACACAACGAGCGCTCTCCAGCGAGGCGCCCGTGCCCAGCGCTGGTCCACGCCAATGGCTGCAGCCCCATATGTCGAGACCCCTGGGGTCCGAAACAGCACGGAGAAATCGCAACGTCGTGTCGGATCACCGCCAAAGCTCTGGACCTGTCCTCCTCCTCCTCCTCCTCCTCCTCCTCCTGCTCCTCCTCCTCCAGAGGCCTCCTACATGGGGTCGGACTAGATAAGGCCGGAACAGAGGGGGTCGGCGGATCGCGCCGTATCGTCGATACATCGGCGATGTCGGCGATGCATCGGCGCCATCGGCGTGGAGAAACTCTGATTGCGCATCGAGCCGCATCGTCGATGCATCAGCGATGCGGAGCGATCCCCCGACCCGATCTACCACGCACTTAGCTGCCCCGATACGTAACACGCAACACGTAGCATGTTGACACGGAACTCAACACGTATACCGGAAACGTAGCTCTGGCGCGGAACGTTCGCCTGAACGTGGGCCAACATGCGCCAAGCCAACACGCAGCACGTTCACACTGACGCTTTCAACACGGCACGTGTTGAGTTTCCAAACGGGCACTGCAGATAAGACTACGACCCCATCTGGGAGCTCTAGAACCACGGCCAGAGCCCTAGACCCTATCCTTCGGCGGCATGCTGTCGGGCCAGATCGATCTGTGAAGGCGGGCCTCCTCTGGGAGGCTTACCTACACCTGGGGAAGATGACCCTGCATTATTGGTGTTGGTGGCAGTCTGTGGGCCGCCTAAGAAGCCCAGATATTACCACTGTCACCGAGAGTGGCCCCAAGAGGCCCCCAAGAGGACCCAAGAGGCTCGCAAGAGGCTCAAGAGGCCCCCAACAGGCCCCCAAGAGGCCGCCAAGAGGCCTCAAGACTGCACCCAAGAGGCCCCCGAGTGCCCCGAAGAGACCCGAAGAAGTATCCCTGAGAACTCCGACCCAGAACCCAGGCACGGAGGCAGGATTGGCCGAAGGCCACTGGATCCGCCGCCCCCTGGGATATTGCCACAAGGGTGCCCGGCGTGCTGAACTTATGACAAATTGGTGTTGGTTCTTTTTCCAAAAGAACTCTTCCCTGGGGCTTCGGCCCGTCCCGCCAGCCATCCAGACAGGACCAAAAACAAGCACAACGTACACAAAACAAATCTCCAAGACGGCTCAAGATGGCCTCCAAGAGGGCAAGATGGCTCCCAATTTCGCCCAAGAAGGTCCACAGTGGCCTCCAAGACGTCCCAAGAGGGTACAAGATACTTCCAAGCCCGCCCAAGAAGCCGCCAAGACGGCCCAAGCTGGTTCCATGATGGCCCAAGACGCTCCGAGACGCCCCCAAGAGGCCTCCAAGACGGCCCAAGAGGCCTCCAAGAGGTCCTCCAGGAAGCGAAGAGGCCAAAATCATTGACTTTCCCTAGGTTGTTGAAGGAATTGGGCAGTTGATTCTTTTCGGCTTCCGACGGCCCGAGACGACCCAAGAGCCCCCAAAGATTGCCCTCAGATCGCCCAAGACGCCTGCAAAATGGCCCCAGAACGGCCCAAGAGGCCCCCCAACACGGCCTCAAGAGGGCCCCAAGACGGCCCAAGAGGCCTCCAACACACCCAAGATGGCCTGCAAGACGGCCCTGCAGCACCCCAAGAGGGCCCCAAGTCGGCCCAGAGAGGCCCTCAAGACGGCTTCCGACGGCGTCTGACGGGCCAGGAGGCCATCAAGACACCCAAGGCTCAAAGATGGCCCAAGGTGGCCCAAGAGGCCCCCACGAGGTCCCAAGACTGCCCCAGAGGCCCCCAAGAGGGCCTCCAGGAAGGCCTGAGGAGGTCAAAATCATTGATTTTCCTTCAGTGGTTGAAGGATTTGGGCATTTGCTTATTTTCGGCATTCCGACGGCCCGAGACGGCCCAAGAGCCCCCACAGATCGCTTCAAGATCGCTCAAGATGCCTCCAAGATGGTCCCAGAACGGCCCAAGAGGCCCCCAAGACGGCCCCGAGGATCCCAAAGACGGCCTCAAGAGGCCTCCAAGACGCCCAAGATGGCCTCCAAGACGGCCCTGTAGCACCCCAAGAGGGCCCCAAGTCGGCCCAGAGAGGCCCTCAAGACGTCTTCCGACGGCGTCAGATGGGCCAGGAGCCCACCAAGACAGCCCAAGATGGCGCCAGACCAACCCAAGAGGCCCCCAAGACAGCCCCAACAGGGCCCCAAGACGGCCCAAGAGGCCTCCAAGACGCCCAAGATGGCCTTCAAGACGGCCCTGGAGCACCCCAAGAGGGCCCTAAGTCGGCCCAGAGAGGCCCCCAAGACGGCTTCCGACGGCGTCAGACGGGCCAGGAATGCCCCAAAACAGCCAAAGAGGCCTCCGAGAAGCCCCCCAAGGCCCCCAAGAGGCCCACGGAGGCCCCCAGGATGCCTCCAAAAGGCTCCCAGGCAGCTCCCAGGAAGCCCCAAGAGTGCTACCAGAGGCTCCCAAGATGCCCCCTCCTTGTTCCTCCTCCTCCTCCTCCTCCTCCTCCTCCTCCTCCCCCTCCTCCTCCTCCTCCTGATCTTCCCCGCCATCCTCCCCCAAGTGTTCCCCGAAGGGTTTCCACAGCGGCTGGGGGAACACGTGGTCCGCTGGCTTGGCTGAGCTCTTGCCACAGCGCTCGGCCACATGGGCGACTCCAAAAGGCAGGAGGCGGCGGTGATTCGCCGTAGGCGTCTTCGACATCATCACCATCACCGAGAGCCGGGGCCGGCCGCGGGCGCCGCGCGCGCCCGCGGCCCTCGTCAGCACAGGGGGCGCTCGAGCGAGGCCTCGGCGTCCGTGGCGGCCTCCGCCCACGCCGGCAGCCCCAGGCTCCTGGGTGACCGTTTTCTTCTCTTTCCCGGGTAACGCTCGTTACCCGGGGGGAGAGGGGAGCGGCGGGTAGGGGATCGACAACAGAGTAGGAGATCGACTAAAGATTTGATGAACTCCAAATTTGACTTTTTCGTCGGGTCTATGGAAAAGAAGACGTCGAATGTATCAAAAAGACATAGAATGTCTCATTCAGCGGCCGACTTTCCCGGGCAACGGTCGTTACCCAGGGGATGGGGGAGTCAGGCGGAAGGGTAATGGTAACGGCGGCCGCGGCGTACACCCGCCAGGGTGCGTCCGCGCCACCGGCGCATCAGTCGCCTGCGTGCACCACAGCATGTAGGGGAGGGGTCCAGGCCACCCCACCACCCCCGTACGATCGTTAGCGTTACCCGTGGGAGGGGGGGTTGGCCCGGGCAACGAGCGTTACCCCGGGAAGGAGGGAAAAGCTCACTGGCGGCGGCGGTGGCGGCTCGGGCGCCGAGCGGGCTCAGAAGGGGATCCTGGCGTCCTGGCCTTATTTCGGGCGTGTCCCCCTACAGGGGGATTTTCGACGAAAACTAACAAATAACCAAAAAATAATCCAAAAATAATCCAAAAATAGTCCGGGGACTATTTTTTGAATATTTGTTTGGCCTTTTTGCGGTATGTTTGGGGTATTTCTTATTTTTCGTCGAAAATCCCCCTGCAGGGGGACAGGCCCGACTTAATCCTGGCGTCGTTGCCCCTGAGGTCTCGACGGTTTTCGGGCAGGTTCGTTCGTCTCGGCGGAGGGTTTTTTTGGCCGTGCGCGGCCTCCGGGGGGGCCCTTTGCCGGGGACGGGGAGGCCCACAGCACCCTGGACGCAGCATCTTCCTCCAGCGGCTGCGGGAGGTCACCGCGAAAAGCGCGCGGAGGGAAGAAACCCAGTAGCCTGCGAATAACAACCCGACAATCTCTCTACCTCCCAGGGCAGCATGAGCCTTGAGGCACTCACGGAGACGGATTCCCGGGCGATGATTGGCGTTACCTGGGCGGGGGGGGCCAGTAACGTCACATGTCCCGTTGGCGAGGTCTGGGAATGTCAACGGACAACCAGAGACACTCGAGGTCAGCACGAAGCGCGCGGAGAAACCCAGGATACTCTGGGGAAAAGCAAATGGTTTCTTGGTGCGCGCTCCCACCGTGAGGGCTCTTCGGGTGGCACGTTTCCCAGCGCGCGACAGCAGCGGATGAGCGATGTGCGTGAGCGCGGCACCGCGGCCTCGGAAGAGGGCCACAGCATCTTCGCACGCGACGAGGAGCCCAGGGCGGAACATGCGAAGAGACCTGAATTGCCACCAGCGCTGCGGGTGGAGGGGGATCAGAGGGGAGGAGAAGGATGGGAATACCCTTTCCCTCCTCCCCCTCCCTTCACCAATCCTCATCGTCCCCTCCTCCACTTCCTCCACTTCTCCCCATCCCATTCATCAATCCTTTGCTTCCCCATCTCTTCCCCCCCTTTTCCTCTCCAGGGTGAGAGGAGGAAGGATTGGACAGGCGAAGCGTGGAGGACCAGCAGGAGGAGCTGGTAGAGGCAAGGCGCGGATACGATCGGCACCAAAGCATGGAGTCAGGAAAGCGACCACACCGCGAGACTCAGAGGAGGAGGACGGCGACGACGACCACGCCAACCGCGACGACCACGACGGCAAAGACCACGACGACGCCCACCAGGACGACGACGACGACGACGATGACGACGAGGACGACGACAACGACGACGACGACGACGACGACGACGACGACGACAGCGGCGGCGGCGGCGGCAGCGGCGGCGGCGGCGGCCTCGCCGAGCCGCCATAGTCCGCCCCCTGCGGCCAGTGGCGCCTGGGCGCCCGCCCTCGGCGGCGGACCTGGCCGACGCAGCCACGACGACAACGACGACGGCGACGGCGACGGCGACGGCGACGACGACGACGACGACGACGACGACGACGACAACGGCCACGACCACGACGTCGACGACGGCGACCACGACCACGACCGCGGCGGCGGCGGCCACGGCGACGACCACGACGACGGCGGGCCACGACGAAGACGACGCCTGACGCAGACGATGACGACGACGACGACGACGACGACGACGACGACGACGACGACGACGACGGCGACGGCGACGGCGACGGCGACGGCGACGGCGACGGCGACGGCGACGGCGACGGCGGCGGCGGTGGCGACGGCGACGACGATCAACGTTGGCGACCACGACGATGACGACGGCGACGACGGCGGCGACAAATGCGACGACTACCGCTCCAACCACCACGACCACGAGGGCAAAAACAACCTCGACGCCCACCACGACGACGACGACGACGACGACGACGACGACGACGACAGCCACGACCGCGACGTCGACGACGGCGACCACGACCACGACCACGGCGGCGGCCACGGCGGCAACCACGACCACGGCCACGACAACGACGACGACGGCGGCGACGACGACGAGGACGACGACGACGACGACGACGACGACGACGACGACGACAACGACGACGACGGTGATGGCGACGGCGATCGACATTGGCGACAACGTCGGCGAAGGCAGCGGCGGCGGCGGCGGAGGCAGCGGCGGCGGCGCGGCGGCGGCGGCGGCGGCGACAGCGGCGCGGCGGCAGCGGCGGCGGCGGCGGCGCCGCCGCCGCCGACGACGACGACGAAGACAACGACGACGACGACGGCGACGGCGCAGCGGATGCGACAACGACCACGCCACCCACACCGACCACGACGGTAAAGACCACGACGACGCTGACCACGACGACGACGACGACGACGACGACGACGACGACGACGACGATAACAACGACAACGACGACGGCGACGACGACGATTACGACAACGACGACGACGAAGAAGACGACAACGACGACGACGACGACGACGACGACGACGACGACGACGACGACGACGACGACGACGACGACGACGACGACGACGGCGGCGGCGGCGGTGGCGGCGACGGCGGCGGCGGCGGTGGCAACGACAACTAACGACGACGGCGACGACGAGGACGACGGCAAAAACGCCGTCATCGTTTCGGGAGGTTTTGAGCGATTCGGCTGGAGACGCGGCTGGAACGCGGCTCAAAAAACAGACCAGAATGGACCCAGTGGAAGTGGTCCCGGACATTCCGGAACCAGTTCTGAGGCGCAATTTTCATCGGACGACGACGACGACGACGACGACGACGACGACGACGATCGAGGATCGAGGGTTTGAAAATTCCTGGCTCTTGGTGGACCTCTGGAAGCCACTGGAGAGCCTCCGGGGTGTCTCGAGGAGCCTCCTCGAAATCTCCAGAGACCTGCAGGTACCTCGGGACGACGACGACGACGACGACGACGACGACGACGTCGATGACGACGACCTCTGGACGTCGCGAGCAACAACTCTCGCGACGGCCAGCTTGGTAATCCGGGCGTCCCCAGACCCTCAGAAAACGGTCCTGGTCCCGGGGATGGAGCGGCGCCCCGGTAAGCCCAGCGGTGCCCCATAGAGCGTCCAAGAGCTCGATCCTCGATCCTCCTCCGGCAACCGACGACAACGACGACGACGGCGACGATCACGACGGCAACAGCGACGACGACGACGGCAGCGACGACAACAACGAATGACGACCGAGACGACGAACGACGACGGAGACGACGAAGACGACGGCAACGACACCGTCGTCGTCGTTTCGGGTGTGTCTGTCGGCGGGGCGCCGGGGGGGGGGAAGTGAGAGGGGCGGGCCTTCTGAGAAGGCGGCGGGGCTTCTCAGAAGCCCTCGCGCCCTCTGAGAAGTTTTCTGTGTCTTCGAGCTGGGCTTAGACAACTTCTCAGAGGGCCGGGGGGGCTTCTGAGCCTTCTGAGAAGGCCCGCCCCTTCTCACTTCCCCCCTCGGACTCGCCGTCAAGTTTGGGAGATTCTGGGGTTTCTGAGCGCCACGGCTGGACTCGACTCGAACAGCTGGCCAGGGTGGACGGGCCTCTCGAAGGGGTCCAGAGCCGAATCTGAGCCGTTTCTCGGTCGGACGACCGCGACTATGACGACGACGACGACGACGACGACGACGACGACGACGAGGACAACGACGAGGACGACGACGACGACGACGAAGACGACGACGACGACGACGACGACGACGACGACGACGACGACGACGACGACGGCGACGGCGATCGACAGTGGCAACGACGACGACGACGACGACGACGACGACTGCGACGGCGACGACGATAAACGATGGCGACGACGACAACAACGGCGACGGCGACAACAACGGCGACGACGACGACGACGTCAGCGACGACGACGGGGACAAAGGCGACGGCGACGGCGCCGATCCAGGTTTGAAAGATTCCTGGAAAATTTTGAAGATGCGGAAACCTATGGAGGACTTCTGGGGAGCCTCCAGGGACCTCTCAGAGACCTCCAGAGACCTTCTCGAGCCGACAACGACGACGACGACGACGACGACGACGACGACGACGACGACGACGACGACGACGACGACGACGACGGCGATGGCCACGACGACGGCGACGACGACGGCGACGACGACGGCGACGACGACGACGAAGACCACGACCACCACGACAGCGGCGGCGGCGGCGACGACGGCGTCGACGTCTGGGGGGTAATCCGCCCAGAGCTTGGAGGCGGATCCAGCCTTGGCGGACAAGGGGGCCCACGACGAACCCAGGAGGATTACAGACCTCGACCCTCGATCTCCTCCTCGAGCCGCCGACGACGAACACGGCGGCGACGACGACGAGCACCACCACCCCCACGACCACGACGACGACGAACGACGGACGGACGACGACGATCACGACCACGACCACGACCACGACCCAGACCGCGACGGCGAACGACGAACGACGCTGACCACGACGACAACAACGACCACGAACGACGAAAGACGAACGACCACGACCACGATCGACGAATGGCCGTGACCATGACGACAAAGACGGCGAGCGTCGACGGCAACGGCGACGGCCACCACGACACCGACCACGACGACGACCGCGACGACGACGACGAGCGACGATCGACCCAAACGGCCCCAACGACGGCTGCGAGCGCAGCTGCCGCCGCCAGGCAGGGTACCGCGGCCGCCGCGGCGGCGCTCCTTGCCAAGGGCTAGCGGGCGGGCGAGGACCCCGCGGAGAGAGGCCAACGGCCGCAGAGACGATGGCTTTCCCACACAGAACATCGTTTCACAGATCCCTGCCCCACTGGCGTGGCCTTGGCCCAACTGGTCGACTTGACGATTAAGAAATTATGCATAACGTGTGGGAGGTGGCGGACCCGGCGAGACGCTATGCCCTGTATGTGGATGGCGTGTCGCTCCGCCCGGCTGGCGACGAGGCTCAGAAAAACTCGAAACGTGGATGCTCGGAACACGAACGCGGCTAGCGTGTTGCACCGGAGCATGGTGGGCGAGAACTGGCGGAATGATACGTGAACCCTAAATTCCAGACCGTACACATCTAAGAGGGAATGAACGCCTGTCCTTTCGGGTTCCGCACGGCCTGTCCCCACCCAGGAGGGCGACCTAGTGGGGCTGACCTACCACGACCCAGGTGGAGACCGGGGTCGGTTGGACGTTGCTGACACACTCCTACTCGTCCTGAAACAGAAACGGCGGATGTTGAACCCCAAAACCGTCAAAAAACAAATCGTGCAGTGGTTTCGAAACCCATCATAAAAAATAACCACGCCGCGCTGGGCCTTTGGAGGCCCGGGTAACCTCAGACATTTTCGGATAATGACCCGTATCCTCGAATGGCCCTACAAGCGGCGCGACGGTGGTAAAAGAGAGGGGGGCGTCGATGCCTGTTTTACGGGCGGCGGAGGCGGGGACCGTGTAGCGCAGAGGCCAGAGCCATTCCCAGGAACTTGATGTCCCACGGGGTGGGTGGGTTGTTCAAAATCGGCCGAGAACCTAAATGCAAATTGCCGCTGGCATCGGGCAGAGCGAGTAGATACACATTCGCCTTGGCACACGGGGGCGCATCCTCGAATGGCCCTACAAGCGGCGCGATGGCGGCGAAGGGGGGGGGGCGTTGGTGCCTCTTTTACGGTTACGGGTGCCGGAGACGGAAGCCCTGTAGCGCTGGGGCCCGAACCACCCCCGGGAAATTGATGCCCCCCCATCAGCGACGGGAGTGGGTCACCAAGGGGGAAGGGGCGGATGCCCGGAGGCGCGGGGCGCTCGGTCACCGGGGCTGGACGGTTGCGGACCGAGCAACGGTTCCCCCAGCTCGGCAGAGCGACAGCGACGCGCAACGCGGCCCCGAAGCCCCGCCCGTCTGCCACACGGCCCTTCCCAACTCAATGGCACCCCCTTCCACCAGGACCCCCATCGCCCGCAGCGGACGGGGGCCCGCGGGCGGGGCGGGCGTCGTCGACGCGGGAGGGCGGCCACGACGCGGGCTCGGGGCCATCCCGCGGGCTAGCAGAAGGTTTCGCCCAAGCGCGACCCACCTCTGCCGAGTCTGGGCCGCCCCAGGTCAGTCCTTGCACAGGCCAGGGCGACGCGGCCAGCGCCCCGTCAGCACGCGGCGCGGCCATTGACCCGCTCGCGCATGGGCGGCGGGGGGGGCCCGCCCCAATGGACCGCGCGGGGCAACTCCAGCGCCGGCACACTCGCGGCTGCTCCGTCAGGGGGTGGGGCGGGGGCTGGCGCGCCCCCGCCCCGGGGGGCCGCGCGGAACCCGCCGCCGCCGCACACTCCCCCGGGACGGCCCCATCCGACCCGTCGGAGCTGGCGGAGCTCAACGAGCAGCCCGAGTCGCCGTCCTCGCTCTTGCCGGCCGCCTTCGCCAACTTAGCCGAGATGGGGCGCCAGCGCGCCCTGCAAACCACGTCGCCAGCATTCGGGCCTGGAACATCGCCGAAGTAAGCGAAGTTCAGCGCCGACCAGCCTTTCGCCCAAGCACAGCCCCCGACCTGATGGAGCCTGGCCATATTGCGCTTCTTCGCGAACGGGATGAGGCAGCGGCCGACCCCTTGGCGCCCTCGCTCTCGCGCGGGGGCACGTCTGGACATTCGCCCGGCTGCCCTCGTCAGCGGCCATGAGATCTGCTTTCGGCGCTCTTCGCGGGGACGTCGTCGCCCCCGCTGGTGGCGCGACGCCATCCACTTCCCCATCCTCATCGCCGGCCTCTGGGGTCGCAGCCCCACCCAGCCCGCCCCCGTCGTCCTGGTCGCCGTCGCCAACGCAGGCCTGGAGGACCGCGCAGGTCTCGGCCGCCACGCTCGCCGCTTTCCGCGCCGAGAAACGCTTCCTCATCACCGGCCAGTTCGCCAGATCCTAGACGGCCGCCGACTTGTCGAGCACCACGCAGGACTTCACTGAGAACAGAACCTCCGCGAACTGCCGCTGGAGCTTGGCAACGACTGCGCGGCATGGCCTCGCGTAGGTACCCACCCCCTCTGGCGACCACCTGCCCAGGTAGTCGCGGGCAGTCTTCGAGACTTCAAACGCTGCCATGGCCGAGGGGATCGTCGCCCGCTCCGAGTGCTCCATCCGGAATCCCACGACACCCTCTGAGAGGAGAAGCTCGACCTGCATCCCATGTGCACGCCGCTGGCCTCAGCGTCTTCGAAAGCACTTCCGGCGGGCCCGCTGCCAAAGTTTCGGCGTACCTGGCGGGCTTCCAGACTACCACCAGCCCCGCGTCGTCGCACCTCGGCAGGAAGTAGTCCGTCTCGAAATTTGCAATCTCCTGCCACAGATCGAAACCCGTCTGGATCCACGCTGGGCCCAGCATGTCTCTCGGGATACCACGAGCAGCACCTCCTGCATTTTGCGCCCTGCCCCACCGGTCTTCGAGCTTCCGAGTGTGGCGGTCAGCGTTCCATCTGCGAAGGCGAGGCGCTGCGGTGGGAGCCAGCTGCGGTCGTCGCAACGCAGCACCGCCCACACCTTGACGAGGCGATACCACGCCATTCCGCGCAGGTACGGCGCGAGGCCGTCGTCCAGGACCAGCCGTTCCAAGGCCCCGATGAGCGCGCTGGGGAAGCGCGTTGCCCTAGTCGTCGTTCCCTTGCCCACGCCGGGGGGCATTCACACGTTCGCGCGACTTGCTGCGCCCCAGGCCGACTGGAGAGCCTGTCGCTCGCATCGACACCCGCGACCCGCTCCGTCCAGACCTAGGCGCGCAGGGTCTGGTTGGGCACCGTCGGCCCACACGGCTCGGCCGCCATGGCATGCACGCCGCTGATGAGGTGCACGATCGCCACGGGTCACAGGACCCCGCGCGCGCAAGAGCCGCCTGCGCATCGTGTCCATGGCACACGTACGACCTGGCCGTGTTGACGTGCGTGCGGCTCGTGATGCCGTCCTTCGCCCACTCCAAGTCCATACTGGCCTGTGCCGTATCGAAGGAAGGCGCCCCCATCTCCTCGAGAAGTGCGATCAGGCGAGGCGTCCACCGAACCCACTGCTGCACCTCCAACCCGCGTCGGCTCTCATCCGCGGCCGCGCGGAACCTCCGCGCGAAGCGGGCCTCCGCCATCGGCCATCGCACGGGCCCCCGGCGGCGGCGGGGCCTCGGCCGTGCCTCGGTCGTCTGTCAGTCGGAAGCACGCTGTGGCGTCCTCCAGCGTGGCCCGCTCGGGGCAACCGTGACACGCCCTCAAGCGCTCCAGAACAGGACTCTCCGCAACGGCCCGATCCACGAGCTCCCTCAGCGGCTGCCGCGACTCCTCCACGTTGAGGTCCGCGGCCTCCGCCGCCTACACGAGGGTCCCCTCGAACTCGGCCCCCTCCGCCTGAAGTGCGATGCAGCAACCGAGTTCAGGCCCTGGGGCGGTCAAAGACCGGCTCGGGATGAAGAAGTTGCGTTGGGGAAAGCGTCGGGCCGTCCGAAGAACACGCACGGAAATCCGACGGCCCTGCCGTCTCGTGTGAGGGAGAGTGCTGGGTCCGTCGCCCCCCGGGTCTTTCATTCGATGGCCTCTTTCGTTCCAAGAGCTTCTCCTGAGACCCGCTGTTGCGCGCCAAGCTCGTCAACTCGAAGTGAATCGAGCCAGGTCGCAATCGCAGTCGCACTTGGATCGAAGGGAAGCCCCTTGCCTTCGATCCCTTCCGCACCAGCTCGGGGGAGGCAAAGAGGGGGGAGTCAAAGAGGGGGGGGCGCAAATCATGGCCGGCGGCATGTGCGCGGCCCAGGTTGGGGGCCAGGGACGTAATGAAATCCGCCGACCCTGTCGGCATGTGGAAGACGCATCCCGGTGTCGTCGTCTTGCGTGGATCACCGTCGTCGTCGTCGTCGTCGTCGTCGTCGTCGTCGTCGTCGTCGTCGTCGTCGTCGTCGTCGTCGTCGTCGTCGTCGTCGTCGTCGTCGTCGTCGTCGTCGTCGTCGTCGTCGTCGTCGTCGTCGTCGTCGTCGTCGTCGTCGTCGTCGTCGTCGTCGTCGTCGTCGTCGTCGTCGTCGTCGTCGTCGTCGTCGTCGTCGTCGTCGTCGTCTCCGTCGTGTCCTCGTCGTCTCCGTCTCCGTTGTCCCTCGTCGTCTTCGTCGTTCCCCGTCTCCTTGAGCGCGCGAGCCAAAGCGACATTGAGCAACGTCGTAGTTGAGTCGTGGCGAAGCCCCTCCCTACCCTCCCCGCCGGGGGGGGGGGGGGAGGGTCGCCGGGGGGGGTCGCCGGGGGGGGTCGCCGGGGGGGGTCGCCACCCAGATACGCATCCTCCCCGGGGGGTCCCGGAGCTCAGAAAAGCTTCAAGACGAGCCAAGAGCGACAGAAGACACCCCCAAAAGGGTACAAGAGGGCCTCGACTCGACGAACGATGGCCCCAAGACGCCCAAGACGGCCCGAAGACGGCCCAAGAGGCCCTCAAGACGCTCCAAGAGAGCCCCAAGAGCACACCCAAGAGGGCCCCAGGCGCCAAAATCGTCAATTTTACATCGGTTTTTGAATGATTTTGGCCTTCTCGCCTTTTCGGCTTTCCGACACTCCAAGACGGCCCAAGAGGCCCCCAAGAGGCCCCCAAGAGCGCCCCAAGAGGCCTACAAGAGGGCCCCAAGACGGCCCAAGAAGGCCCCAGGACAGCCTAAGAGGCGCCCAAGACGGCCCAATAGGGCCCCAAGACGGGCCCAAGAAACAGCCAAGAGGGGGACCGCCCTCCCCCTTCAAGCCCTTCCCTCCATCCTCACCCTTCCTCCTCCTACCCCTTCCGCCTCCTCCTCCTCCTCCTCCTCCTCCTCCTCCTCCTCCTCCTCCTGCCCCCCCCCTCGTGTTGTCTTTCGTCATCTTCAGGGTCGGCGGCAACGGCCGTAAGGCCTTCGCAATAAGAAGAGGCGCCATGAAATCTGGGGAAAGATCATGGCCCACGCCACGTTATCCACCCCCCCCTAGTCATCACCCCTCTCTTTGCCGCCCCCGACCAGCGGGGGGGCTGGGAGGTTTCCGGGTCAGAAGACACTCCCCCCCATTCCCTTGTGGGGGGCACATTCGGCATTTCAACTCCAAGATATTCCACGAGGAGCCCGAGAGAGCCCAGAGCCGCCCAAAGATCGCTCCAAACCGCCCAAGATGGCCCCCCAGACGGCCCAAGACGCCATACGCCCCAAGAGACCCGTAAAAGCGGGCCCCGAGGGGCACAGATTACTGAATGTGTCTAGGTTTGGGACCGATTTTCGCGTTGATCCTGTTTCGGCTTCCCGACGCTCCAAGACGGCCCACGAGGCCCCAAAGATTACCCCAAAACTGGCTACGAGGCCAAAAGGGACCGAGACTGTGCAAAAAACAGCACAGCCCAAACGGCCTCCAAGACGGCCCGAGAGGGCCCCGAAAACGTCCCCAAAGAGACCCGGAGCGCGAACACGAACCGACATGTCGACATTACCACCCCAAGAAGCTCCTGGGAGGCCCCAAGAAACTTCCGAGAGGCTCCCACGAAGCTCCAAGAGGCCTCCAAGAAGTCCCCAGAAGATTCTCAAGAGGCCCAGAGGGCTCCCAGAATGCCGCTAGCCAGTGATCCTCACCATGCCGCTCAATGATGCTGGCGTTCTTGCCTTCTCTGGCTGCCGACGGCCTCAGAGCCCAGAGAGCCTCCACAGTAACACCCAGTCAACCCAAGAAGCCACGAGTGCCCCCAGACGGCCACCAGACGATTCAAAGTGGCACCCATAACGGCTAGCCTGGCCCAGGATCCACTCCAAGACGGCAAATACTATTTCCAAGAGACAGCCACATGGCTTCCAAAGTGGCCGATGCCCTCAGAGCAGGCGAGGGTTACCCGAGAAGCGAGGACGGCCGCACGATGACTCCGAGCAGGTCCGACGTGATTGGCCTCACGGTGCAGCCATGGGCCCTCAGAGACATGCGGAAACCACAAAGGCCCCAAAGAGTCCGCTACACCCCAACGGAAACCACAAAGGCCCCAAAGAGTCCGCTACACCCCGACGCCTCCCTGCCTCTCCCCCGAGAGAGAAGGGGGGGAGAGAGTGGGGCGCGCTCGGTCGGGAGCGCTGTCAGCCCCCAGACCTCGAGGCCCCTCGCGACCAAAGTGACGGCGAAGGCTGCTCGCATGCCCGGCGCCCGGGAGGCGCTCTCGGGCCCCCGGGGGCCGTCGGAGAGCCGCCCCGGCGTCCGCTCGCAGACGCCTCGTTCGATCCGCGGCCCGCCAGAGGCCCCGACCGAGCCGCCACGGAGCAGACGATGCGTCTCGGAGCCGTCCTTGCGGACCCCTGGGGCCCGCGAGCGGGACACGGAGGCCGAGATGGTCTCGAGGAAAAGCGGGGACGCGGGCTGGAAAAGAGTCGGATCGCCGGAGATCTGTCTGGGGGGTCGGGGTGCGACACAAAGGGTCCCGGGGAGGGGGTCGAGAGCCCTGCGGCCCTCGAGCCCCACGAGGCACGACGGCGGAGGAGGAGGAGGAGGAGGGGGAGGAGGAGGAGGAGGAGGAGGAGGAGGAGGAGGAGGAGGAGGAGGAGGAGGAGGAGGAGGAGGGCCCCTGCCCCCGCGGGCTCCTGGGGACCCCGAGGCGGTCCACCCAGGCCTCCGTGGCGCTCCACTGGCGCAGGGTCGCGGCGCTCCCGGGCAGGGCCTCCGTCTCGTTGCTGCCGCAGGGCACGCTGCGGGAGACCCACCCGGCGGCGATGCCCTCGCTCTCGCTGCCGTCGCCCCTGTGCAGGAGGCAGCTCCCCGTCAGCGCCGAGAAGGAGATCTTGCCACACTGGTCGTTGCCAGCGCACTTCTCGACACAGGAGTCCATGGTCATGCGATTGAACGACTCGATGGCAGGCGTGAGAAGAGAAGCACCCGTGTAGCATGGCTCCGGCGGTGGAACGTCACCACACTTGACACAAGTAGGAGGCCCTGAGACAAAAAGCAATCGTGAAGCCGTGCGGTGAGAGAACTGGCTCTGAAGGTGGCAGTCACCAGCTGGTACCCAGTAGGCGAAATGACCGCAGCCAGGTGTCGCCCGGCAGAGCTCCTGCGAGGCAGGAAATTGCCCATATCCACTGCCTGGGGAACCGATGCCCTGGGACCCGATTGGGCGGTGGGTATGGATCTGTTGGCGCCCCCCCCGGGACCCAAATATATCCGTGCTCACCACCTACCGAGGTCCTCGAAGCTCGATCCCCAGGCGGTGGTTATGGACACTCCCCACCTCGGAGCTCCTGACAGGCCACCACAGACTCGACCCTCTTGGGCATGGTCATGTCGAGGGGCTCGTACGTGAAGTCCTGCTGGTAGCAGTCACGGCGCTCGTCCGCGCTCATCCCCTTCGACGGGACCAGGAAAGCGCTCCTGCTGCCGGCGTAGCCCGGGTCCTCGAAGTCGCAGTACTCCTCCCCGACGGGGAGCAGCCCCGCACCCGGCGGCCCCAGTGGAACGCCCTCGTACCTGCTCATCCGAGGAGGCTCCAGCGCCGGCTGGGCGTCTGGCGACGGCGGCTTGCCCCCAAGTCGCGCCGGCTGGGCGTCTGGCGACGGCGGCTTGCCCCCAAGTCGCGGCGGCTGGGCGTCTGGCGACGGCGGCTTGCCCCCAAGTCGCGGCGGCTGGACGTCTGGCGACGGCGGCTTGCCCCCAAGTCGCGGCGGCTGGGCGTCTGGCGACGGCGGCTTGCCCCCAAGTCGCGGCGGCTGGGCGTCTGGCGACGGCGGCTTGCCCCCAAGTCGCGGCGCGTCCGCAGAAACGCTCGTCGGGGATCCACGGACCCGTGTCAATCCAAACCCGGGTCAGCCAGGCCCTGCAGGATCCCGCAAGGTCCTGCAAGATCCTGCCGGGTCCTGCAGAGTCCTGCAGAATCCTGCGCGGTAGCCCGGGTCAGTGCAACCCTGGCCCTGCAGGATCCTGCAAGATCTGGCACTCTGACTGACCCCCGTTTGCATTGACCCCTGTCTCAAGGCCCCCGAGCTCGGCAGCGGCTTCGGTCCCGAGCGCGTGGCGTCGCCGGACTCGTTGGTCCGCCGACCCTTTGGAGCCAGAGGCGCATAAAATGTTTGTGGACATCAGTGATCGTGTTGATAGGAAGGGGCTGGGAGCATGAGGGGCACGAGCAAAGGCATCCGGATGCAAGGAGCGGTAGCTTCGGCCGCCTACGGGCAAGGAGTGTGGATGCCACGACAATGGACACCCTAACAGTCCTATCATCGAATTAAACATGTGTTTAGCATGTCGGAAAATTCCCTGAAACTGTAAAACATAGTTTTACACTGTAAACCGTTTTAGCGCATGTTCTAGACATCTGGAATTATTTGGCAGCATGCTTCCTCTCCATTGATCTCTGCACGAACGAGATGGGCACGGAAAGGATGGGTACAATGCTCAACAGCAGTTCCTGTTCATCTTGAACAGGATTCGCTGTCCGCGCCGCCGCGGCCTGTGTCAATTCGAGACAGAAGGCCGCCTGCCCAACAGCGGCCGCTGTTGGTTTGGGACAACATTTGTTGTTGGGCATTGTGCCCATTCTTTCCGTACCCATTTCGGGCGTCCAAATTGGTCGTCCTCCACAAGGCAAGGACATCCTCAGGCCTCACTTCTCCCGGCCCCCTCCTCCCCACCCGAGAGGCGCGTTCCTGCATGATGGGGCCTCCCTCGCCGGGCGTGGCCCAGATCGAGCCGCCGGATCGGAACTGAGCATCGTGGAGCTGGGCCCCAAGAGGCCCCCAAGAGGCGTCCCAAGGGGCCACCAAGATGCCAAAAACATGGATTTCCGATGAGAAAATGTACATTTTCAGCATACACGATTTTTCAGCTTTCACTGCGCTGAAGACGCTCCAAGAGGCCCCCATCCCCGACTGGGGGGGTAACTTGGTGGGTGTCTCGAAGGGGATGGGGATGGGGATGGGGATCGGTGAAACGATACTGCTGTGGGGCCTGCCTCGCAGGGCGTGGCGCCGCATCGAGCCGCCAGATCGGAAGGCCTCGGAGGCGGCTCGGAAGAGTCGCAGCCCCGTCCGGCGCGGAGCCGCGTCGGGATCGGGGCCGCTCGGGGGTCGCGGGGGCCGGGCTCGGCCCCTGCAGGGGGCCCCAGCAGGGGAGAGTCGGCTCGTCGTGCTGGCTCCGAGCGGGTCGGAGTCGAAATCGAAGACTGGAGATCGGGATCGGGTCGCACTCGAAGTCGAAGCTTGGAAAGCGGATCGGAGCGAAATCGAAATCGAAGCCTGGAGATCGGGATCGGATCGAGTTCGAAGTCGAAGTTTGGAGATCGGATCGGATCGGATCGGACCGTGAACAAAGCCCTGCTCGCCCTCCGCCCTGGAACCAGGAGCGTTCAAGCTGGAGCGGGTGATGTCGACTGCACGCGTCAGCGACACTTGGGAGCTGGTTTTGTGGCGCCGAATCCCACCAGCCTTCTGGGCGCAGGTGGTGTGAGGCACAAGCTGTTGCAAAACCCCTCTACCCCTTCGGGGTGGGAATCACTCCATCCACCTGGTTACCAGTTCCCCGGAAGTCTGGAAATGGGTGGCCGCGACGAGGGGTTAGAGGGTCCGGTTTGGCCTAAGGTAGCTCGAAGATAGTCCCAGATAGCCCGAGACTGCCTGCCAAAGGCACAATATTGTCAAAATGGTTCATAATGGCCTCAAGCACGCCCACAGGTGGCCCAAGAGAGCGCCAAGACTGCCCGAGATGGCCACTGAGACTCAAAAGGATGCCTCCGAGAGGCCAGAATCGTCAACAAAGCATTAAACTGTCAATGGTGGTTGCCATCTCGCCTCTTTAGCTTCCGATAGGCTCGCGAGGTCTTCACATAGCTCGCAAATGGCCGATCAGGGCCCGAAAATGGGCGCAGAAGGGCCCCAAGGGGGTTTCGTAGGCCCCAGGAGCACCCCGAGAACGCCCCAATTGGGTGCCAAGAGGCATTCAAGTCTGGCTCAGAAAGCATGTTGGGATAATCCCGGGCCAAAGGCCGATGTGGAGGCTGGGGGGTGGGGTGGGTGGAACCAACGACGGGACAACCATCGGAGCAACCGTCTCCATGCATCGAACAACCTCTATCGGTCGACCGATATATCGATATATCGATATATCGATCTATCTATCTCACGCTCAATCAAGCGGTTGCACTATCAGCCTATATGTCGATCCCACGAGCTACAGACTTAGAGGATCCCACGTTCCACCTGTCGATAACGAGATCTATATATTCGTATATATAAATGTTGATCGACCTCCCTATCTATCTACCGACCTCCTCAGCAATCCACGAGTTGATACATAGACCTATCGGCATCACAATCTGTCTGCCGACCTCACGGTCAACCAGGTAATTTACCATCGGGACAACCATCGGGACAACCATCGGACAACCATCGGGACGACCATCAGGATAACGATCTGAGCCACGATCGGGACAACCATCGGGGTACGGTGGAGACAACCATTGGAACGACCCACGGGACAACCATCGGGACAACCTTCGGGACAATCACGGGTAAACCACGGGACGTAAACGATCCACCTCGGAACAGGGGCGGGCCCAAATCCACCAACTGAAAAGGGGAACCTGTTGCGCGACAAAAGCACGAAACTGGAACCATTTCTCGGCGGGGGTGTCTCACACATACATCCATATATTCATTCATACATACATACAACTTGCATGCATGCACACATACATACAAGACTGCATTGGCGCTTCTCGCCACGCACCTTGGTCCTTGAAGTTTGGCATGCAGGCGGAATGGCAGGAAGGTCAGACAAACAATTTAGCGATAACTCCTTGTTGCCTTTTCTGGCATCGCCGCTATAATAATTTCATTCGTTATCCTTCCTCCATCCTTATGTTTTTTCATTATCGCCCTACCCTGCGGATTCTTCCCCATCGTCCTCAGCTCGTTTTGCGGAGGCTCCTCCTGGGAGAGCCTCTGGGGGCCTCACAGAGATTTATCTCATGCTTTCTTAAGGCCTTCTGGAGACTCCTGGGCGTCTTCTGGGGGCATCGGGAGGTTCCCTCGGGCCACCATGCCTTCAACCGCGGTCTCCCTGAACGACCGGGTCACGATTGAAATGCTTCGGAGGGTGTCTTGAGGCCATCTTGGGCCACCATGGGGCTCTGTTGGGCCATCTTGGAAGCCTGTTGTGCCGTCTTGGGGCTCCCTTGGACGGCCTGGAAGCCCTTTCGGATTTTTTTGGTGTGATTTTTGAGCCTCCCAAACGGTTTCGGACCCCCAGAACACCGAAGAACAGGGCATTCCAAAAATCATGCAAAAATGCTATAAAGATCCGTGTTTTTTGCTGCGTTTGGGAAATCTCTTGGGGGTCTTATTTGGGTCGTCTTCGAGCGTTTAGTGGGCGTCTGGGGCCTCTTAGGGCCCTCGGGGGGGCCTTCGGCCGCCCTCTTGACCGATGTGGAATTCCCAGAAGCCCACGAAATGGCGACAGTTTCGCAGATCGCAGCCCCCCAGGGGACGGCGAGGTCTCGTGGTGATCCCCGTAGGACGTACCTCCGCTGGGCCTCATAGAAACCCAACGAAAATGGCGACAGTTTCGCAGATCGCAGCCCCCCAGGGGACGGCGAGGTCTCGTGGTGATCCGCGTAAGACGTGCCTCCGCTGGGCCTCCCAGAAAACCCACGAAAGTGGCGACAGTTTCGCAGATCACAGCCTGCCAGGGGACGGCGAGGTCTCGTGGTGATCCGCGTAGGACGCACCTCAGGTGGGCCTCCCAGAAACCAACGAAAGCGGTGACAGTTTCGCAGATCGCAGACCCCCAGGAACCAGCGAGGTCGCGTGGTGATCCGCATAGGACGTACCTCCGCTGGGCCTCAGTTTCGCAGATCGCAGCCCCCAGGGTTTCGCAGACCGCAGGCACGAAGCAGGAGGCAGAAAGCAGGCAGGAGAAGGGAGGAAGGAGGAGGCAGGAGGAGCGAGTGAGTGAATGAGTGGGTGAGTGAATGAAAGAGTGAATGAGTGAGTGAGTGAGAGAGTGAGTGAATGAATGAGTGAGTGATGGAGACCACGGTCCTCTACTCAAAACGAGTACACAGCCAAGGGAGGGTTGGGAAATAACTCACCTGAGGAGCACAGCTGAGAGAGCCCATGGCGCGCGGCCCCGACTGCATCTTCAAAAAACTCTACGTGAGAGCAGGGAAGCTTCAGGAAGGGCAGTCTCGCAGAGGGGACAGGACACATGCACGTGCACAGTGTGGCAGCTGGAAAGAAGGCGCTATTCAAGCAGCGTCTTTGATGCACTCAAGACTCAGTCCGATGCTGCCGTTGATTTTACAATTCAGGCCGTCCTACACAGCCACGGCCACCCCCCGACAGAACCAGTCTGAAGTAGCCAGCGCGCGCCTGGGTGACGTAGTAGATTCAGAATGCATGCGTGATTGCCGAGCCTGCGTAAGCATACAACGCATACCCCCAAAAACGAAGCAAATTGAAATAGCATAGCCAAAAGAAGTTTTTGATTGCCCATCTCTCCATGCAACTGGCCAAAGCAGGATCGGACAACTCGCCGCTGAGCTGCCACCCCACGTCCGCTCCGTTCCAACAACTTTCCCCACACGACCTCGGAAGCTCCGAGAACAACATACGAGTTGATTGTCCAGCAAGAAGCTGCACGGTCCATTCACTCTTTTCCCTCTTCGGCGAACGAACCCAGAACGTCTTCAATTAGCGACCCGGCGTCACCACTCACGAACCGATCCCTGACGTCATAGGTACGAAAACCTTCGAATCGACTGAGAGGTCGGTGCATCAGACTCCGTGATGCCTTCCTACTGTCCTTCACCAGGGGGGGCCGCTGAGCACGTGCATCGCGCGGCGCGCGCGCGCGGCAGCGTGCCCTTAGGGCTCGGCGCTCAGAGATTGGAACCTGTCGGCCCAGCGCGTGGCGGGGCGGCCTCTGCTCCGGAAGCCATCTGGCTGCCAGCAGAGCGTCCTTCACAGCATGACCCAAAACATTCGATGTTGTTCTGAGACTCCCCACCGGCAAACCCCACAGACACGAACTGTCCAGCAGCGGGCACGCTGCGAAACCCCACTGCTGACGCATGCGTGCTGCGCCTGCTCAGCAAGCGGGATTTGCTCTACCAAATGCAAAGAAACGTTGAGCGTACGATGTCTCGAGCCACCTCGTGTGAGTTAGCGCGAACCTGTTGAAACCGTACCCACCGTCTGGAAGTCCATCGTAGCCTCCGCGTATGACGAGATCCATGTCTACCGACGTGGCAGGCTCCACAGGGACTAAATGTGCAGCCAAGCTCTGTCTCGATATTGAGCGGAACGCGTTGGACACCGCGACGCAGACGGGAAGCTAGGCAAGCAAAGGTAGTCCTCTGGCAACCCTTGAGATGTCGGAGATGTCGCGGGCGCTTCACGCAGCTGCTGGAGGTACGGCGCAGCAAAGCGCCAGATCTGAAAACTGCAGGCCGTGAGGGATCACTGCCGCGCGAGGGGGCACAGTCCAGCCGACCCCAAGACTGCTGTTAGGTCGGGCATGTCCTCCTACAGGCGGATGTTGCGGATTTGGTAGGGAAAAACAAAAGTAGCCAAACAAGGCTCATTAAAAATGTCTATAGAAAAACAAAGAATGTCCCCAGAATGTGTTTCGATTTTTTTGAACACAATGTCCCCCTGCAGAGGGACAGGCCCGAGTTAGCCCCAGGAGGAGGCAAGCGTACAACGACGACGACGACGACGACGACGACGACGACGACGACGACGACGACGACGTCCCACTCAACCCTGCGGCCCTCCCACCACGCGCCTCGTTGGGCGTGGTGAGGTGGAGTTCCCGCAGGGCCGCGACGGCGGCGTCGAGATTCGCAGCAAGGCGGAGGGAGAGCGGAAGGGGGAGGGAACAAACTTAGAGGAACAAAAAGTGGCATAAACATAAAAACTCGGAGGTCCGCGCGGATTTCTCGGATCGGCGCTGGACCCCCCTCCCTGGCGCGCGGAGCGCGCCAGGGGCGGCGCTGGAGGCGCCGCCGGGGGGGCCCCAGCGCGGATCCGAGAAATCCGCGCGGACCTCCAAGTTTTTATGTTTATGTCACTTCTTGTGTTCCCAAAGACTCTTTTTACTTCTTGCCTCCAAGTTTTTATGCTTATGACACTTGTTGTTTCCCAGAGACTTCATCCCAGGAGGAGGCAGGGGGCGGGGGGGGGGGCAGAGGCGAGACGGCCACCCGCACGCCGGAGGGGCCCCCAGGCAGGAGGTGGCCCCCTGGTGGTGCGCGCGCGGGGCCTATGTCGGCCGTCCGGCCGTCCCCCATCGGACGGCCCCTCCCCGTGCACCTGTCGGCTCCGTGCGCGCGTTCTCCGCGGGACGGCCCAGATTTGGGAGAGAAACAAACTAACTAACTAACTAACTAACTAACTCACTAACTAACGAACAAAAAAGGCCAGAAGCATAAACGTTTGGCGCTCCGCGCGGGTTTCTTGGGTCTGCGCTGGAGCCCCCTTCCCTGGCGCGCGGAGCGCGCCAGGGGCGGCGCCGGAGGCGCCAGGGGGGGGGGGCCCAGCGCGGCTCCAAGAAATCCGCGCAAAGCGCCGAAAGTTCATGTTTATGGCATGTTTTTTCCTTCTTCGAAAGGATGCTCCCCGATGATCCTCGCCAAGAACAAAATTC